GCAGGCATGGCACGGAATGGCAGGGCAGGGCATGGCAGGCATGGCACGGAATGGCAGGCATGGCAGGGCACTGACAGGGGCGACACTGGCACGGCACGGCACGGAATGGCACAGAATGGAATGGCACAGGATGGCAGGGCACTGACAGGGGTGACACTGGCACGGAATGGCAGCACGGCCCAGGCACGGCACGGCACGGCACTGACACTGGCATGGCACAGCACGGCATGGCACAGAATGGCATGGCACTGACAGGGGTGTCACAGACACGGGTGACACTGGCACAGCACGGCACGGCAGCGACACGGGTGACACTGGCACGGAACAGCATGGCACAGCCCCCCCAAATATGGCTCGGGGGTCCCCAATATGAGTCAGGGGTCCCCACTATGGCTTGAAGTGTCCCCAGTACAACTCAAAGTGTCCCCAGTACGGGTCGGGGGTCCCCAATATGGGTCAGGGGTCCCCAATATGAGTCAGCTATCCCCAATATGAGTCAGGGGTCCCCAGTATGGGTCGGGGGTCCCCAGTATGGCTCGAAGTGTCCCCAGTACAGGTTGGTGGTCCCCACTATGCATCAGCGGTCCCCAATACGAGTCGGGGGTCCCCAATATGAGTCGGGGGTCCCCAATATGAGTCAGTGGTCCCCAATACGAGTCGGGGGTCTCCAATACAGGTTGAGGGTCCCCAATATGGCTCAGTGGTCCCCAATACGAGTCGGGGGTCCCCAGTATGATTCGGGGGTCCCCAATATGAGTCAGTGGTCCCCAATACGAGTCGGGGGTCCCCAATATGAGTCGGGGGTCCCCAATATGAGTCAGTGGTCCCCAATACGAGTCGGGGGTCTCCAATACAGGTTGAAGGTCCCCAGTATGGCTCAGTGGTCCCCAATACGAGTCGGGGGTCCCCAAAATGGCTCAAAGTGTCCCCAATACAAGTCCGTGGTCCCCAACACAGGTTGAGGGTCCCCAATACGGGTCGGGGGTCCCCAGTACGGGTCGGGGGTCCCGGTGTAACGCGGGGTCCCCCCGTGCCGCTCCCCCGTTGCCGCGGCGGCGCCGCTGTTTTGGCGGGGCTGAGTCACGGCCGTGACTCACCGGCACCGGCACCGGGCGGGGCCGGGGGGCGGCACCGGGGGGTCCCCAAAGTGGGGGGTCCCCAGGGTGTCCCCGGGGTGTCCCCGGTTTTGGGGGAGGGTCCCGGAACTCCCCCCCCCCAATCCATTTCGCACCCCCAAATCCGCATTTTTCCCCCCAGATTTTTGCGTTTAACCCCCCCCAGATATCCCCAAGGGGGGGGTCTCGCCCCGGTTGGGGGGAGGGTCCCGGGACCACCCCACCCCCAAATCCTCCTTTCCCCCCCCCAAATTAAAATAAAAAAATTTAATTTTTAACCCCCCCAGATGTCCCCAGTTGAGGGGTCCCGGGGGGTCCCGATCCAGGTGGGGGTCCGGGGGGATCCGGGAGGGTCCGGGGGTGTCCGAGGGGGTCCCGGGGGTGTCCAGGACGGTCCGGAGGGGTTCGGGTGGGTTTGGGGGTGTCCAGCGGGGTCTGGAGGGGTCCGGGAGGGTCCGCGTGGGATTCGGGGTTCCAGGGGGGGATTCGGGAGGGTTCGGGTGGGATTCGGGAGGGTTCGGGAGGGTTTGGAAGGGTTCGGGGGCGTTCGGGAGTCCCCGGGTGTGTTCGGGAGTCCCCGGTGGGGTTCGGGTGGGATTCGGGAGTGTTCGGGGGTGTTCGGGTGGGTTCGGGGGGATCCAGGGGGCTTCGGAGGGGTTCGGGTGTCCCCGGGGGTGTTCGGGTGGGTTCGGGGGGATCCAGGGGGCTTCGGAGGGGTTCGGGTGTCCCCGGGGGTGTTCGGGTGGGTTCGGGGGGATCCAGGGGGCTTCGGAGGGGTTCGGGTGTCCCCGGGGGGGTCCGGGGGAGCCCGGGGGTGTCCCGGGGGGGTTCCGGGAGGGTTCGGGGGAGCCCGGGGGTGTTCGGGAGTCCCTGGGAGGGTTCGGGGGGGTTCGGGGGGGCCCGGGGGTGTCCCGGGGGGGTTCGGGGGTGTCCGGGTGTCCCGGGGGTGTCCCGGGGGTGTCCCGGGGGGGTTCCGGGGGGGGTGACTCAGTCCCGAACCACGCGGCCGTGACTCACCCGGGGCTGGGACCGGCGGGTCCGGACAAAGGCGCTTTCACTGCCACCCCCCCCCCCCCCCCCCCCCCCGGCCCCCGAATTCCGACACCCCCCAACCCCCGCAGACCCCCCCAAAAAATCCTTTGGGGGGGGAGGAATCACCCTCCCCGTCTCCCCCCCCGTCCCCCCCTCATTCAAGCCCCGACTTGAGGGGCCGGACCGGACCGGGGGGGTTTGGGAACCCTCGGGACCACCGGGACCCCCTCAGGACCCCCCCCCCCAGGACCCCCCCGGGACCCCCAAGCCCTCCCCAGCATTCCGTGCCTCAGTTTCCCCGCTCACACCGTGCCCCCCTCCCCAGATATTTCGGAGGGGCGTCGCTGCGGTTTTTTGGGGGGGGACTCGGGGGTCTCCATCCATCCGCAGACCCCCCCTGCCCTCCCCGAGCCCCCCCGGGTGGGCGCGCAGGGGTTAAAGGGGCTGCGGTGCCTTTAAATGGGCGGGGCGGGGCTGGGAGGGGCGGGGCCGGGGAGTGAAAGGGGCGGGACCGGTGAATCAAAGGAGGCGTGGCCGCGCGGGGGATGCGGGGAGGGTGGCGGCCAATCAGCGATGAGGATTAGGAGTGGGCGGGGATGTGGGCGGGGCATACGGGATTATCTGGGCCACGCCCCCAAAACAGAGCCTGGGGACACCTGGGGACACCTGGGGACGTTTGGGGACATCTGGGGACATCTGGGGACATCCCAAACACACCTGGGCACACCTGAGGGACATCCCAGGAACATCTGGGAACAACTGGGGGACATCTGGGGACACTTGGGGACACCTGAGGGACATCTGGGGACATTTGGGGACATCCCACACACACCTGGGGACATCGCAGGGACACCTGGGGACATCCTGGGGACACTTGGGGACATTTGGAGACACCTGGGGACACCCCAGGGACATCCTGGGGACACCTGAGAGACACCTGGTGACATCTGGGGACATCTGGGGACATTTGGGGACATCCCACCCACACCAGGGGGGTCTCACATTTTCCCCACCCAGGACAGGAGCAGCTTTGGGGTCAAATCTGGAGGATTTGGGATTCAGCGGGGCAAGGACCCCTTTGGTGTTTTTTTTTTTTCTTTTTCCTCCATTTTTCACCCCAAAAGGGTTTTATTTTTTCCTGTTCCTTTGGGGGCCCTGGGGATCCTGGATGGGAACAGATCCCAAAAATCCAGAACAGGAACAGATCCTGGGGGAGAAGAGATCCCAAAATCCACGATTTTGGATTCCTAAAAGAACAGAAACAGACCCCGGATCCTGCCGGTGTGGGATCCCCCGGCCTTCCAGTGAATCCCCTCGCTGATTTTGGGGTGAAAGCGCCGCTTTTGGGGCCATTCCGTGCCCCGCTGATTTTGGGGTGAAAGCGCCGCTTTTGGGGCCATTCCGTGCCCCGCTGATTTTGGGGTGAAAGCGCCGCTTTTCGGGCCATTCCGTGCCCCGATGATTTCGGGCCGCCCCTCCCCGGGCAGGAATTTCCCAACCCCACAAATCCCCGCCGGGAATTCCCCGAAACACCCAAAACGCGGCGATTTTGCCCCAAAACCGTTCCCGGGGCATTCCCGGCCCGGCGCCGGGCAGCGCTTATCGCTCATCGCTTATCGCTCATCGCTTATCGCTTATCGCGTGTCGCTCATCGCTTATCGCTTATCGTGTGTCGCGTATCGCCGTTCATGGCAGCGATCACCGAAATCGCGGTGATTGACCCCAAATCGCCCCAAGGCCACGAGGGGCGGCCCCGCCCTCTCACGCGCAGGAGAGGCCGCTAGGCCCGACCGGGGCACCGGGGGCACCGGGGGCACCGGGACCGGCACCGGAGCACCGGGAGCACCGGGAGCACCGGGACAGGTACCGGGGCACTGGGAGCACCGGGACTGGGAGTACCGGGGACACTGGGACCGGTACCGGAGCACCGGGAGCACCGGGACTGGGAGCACTGGGAGCCGTGGTGATACCGGTACCGGATCACCGGGGGCACCGGGGACACCGGGACAGGTACCGGGGCACTGGGAGCACCGGGACCGGTACTGAAGCACTTGGGAGCACTGGGAGCACCGGGACCGGAGCACCGGCAGCACTGGGAGCACCAGGACTGGGAGCACCGGGAGCACCGGAGACACCAGGACCAGCACCGGAGCACCGGGAGCCATCCGTACTGGGAGCACCGGGAGCACCGGGAGCACCGGGCCAGAGCGCTGGGGTGTCCAGCTCCAGGCCACACCGGGAGAACTGGGGACACCGGCAGCACCGGGACCGGTACCAGAGCACTGGGAGCACCGGAGACACTGGGAGCACTGGAGGCACCGGTACTGGGAGCACCGGGCCAGAGCGCTGGGGTGTCCAGCTCCACACCACGCCAGGAGAACCGGAGGAACCGGGAGCACCGGGAGCACCGAAGACACCGGTACCGGTACCGGAGCACCGGAGACATTGGGAGCACCGGGAGCACCGGGAGCACCGAAGACACCGGTACCGGTACCGGAGCACCGGAGACATTGGGAGCACCGGGAGCACCGGGCCAGAGCGCTGGGGTGTCCAGCTCCACACCACGCCAGGAGAACCGGAGGAACCGGGAGCACCGGGAGCACCGAAGACACCGGTACCGGTACCGGAGCACCGGAGACATTGGGAGCACCGGGAGCACCGGGAGCACCGAAGACACCGGTACCGGTACCGGAGCACCGGAGACATTGGGAGCACCGGGAGCACCGGGCCGGAGCGCTGGGGTGTCCGGCCCCACAGCAGCAGCAGCAGCGCTGGCCGGCCCAGCCCCACGGCCCCCCACAACTGGGGACACCGGGAACGGCTGGAACCGGGAGCCACCTCCAGCCCCGCGCCATGGGGGTGACACCGGAGGGGACAGCAGGGGTGGCAGCAGGGGTGACAGCAGAGGTGACAGCACAGGTGACAACGCCACGCCACAAGTGCCACCGAGCACGCTGTGGTGTCCCAGGCCGCGCGGCGCTGGTGGCACTGGTGGCGCTGGTGGTGCTGGTGGCGCTGGTGGCGCTGGTGGCGCTGGTGGTGCTGGTGGCGCTGGTGGCGCTGGTGGCGCCGGTGGCGCTGGTGGCGCTGGTGGCGCTGGTGGCGCCGGTGGCACTGGGGTGGCCGTGCGGGGTCACTTTGACGTGTGGAGGGATTACCTGGGGCTGGCGGCCGCCGTGGCCGCGCTGCTCCGCGAGCCCGGGGGACGTGGGGACAGCTCGGGGACAACGGGGGCTCTGGCTGCCAGGGGCGGGGCAGCTCCGCAGGGTGGGGCAGCTCCACGTGTGGGGCCGGCTCCATCTGTGGGGCCAGCTCCACGTGTGGGGTCAGCTCCATCTGTGGGGCCAGCTCCATCTGTGGGGTCAGCTCCACGTGTGGGGCCAGCTCCATCTGTGGGGCCAGCTCCATCTGTGGGGTCAGCTCCATCTGTGGGGCCAGCTCCATCTGTGGGGTCAGCTCCACGTGTGGGGTCAGCTCCATCTGTGGGGCCAGCTCCATCTGTGGGGTTAGCTCCATCTGTGGGGTCAGCTCCACGTGTGGGGTCAGCTCCATCTGTGGGGTCAGCTCCATCTGTGGGGTCAGCTCCACGTGTGGGGCCAGCTCCATCTGTGGGGCCAGCTCCATCTGTGGGGTCAGCTCCATCTGTGGGGCCAGCTCCATCTGTGGGGTCAGCTCCATCTGTGGGGTTAGCTCCATCTGTGGGGTCAGCTCCACGTGTGGGGTCAGCTCCACGTGTGGGGTCAGCTCCATCTGTGGGGTCAGCTCCGTCTGTGGGGTCAGCTCCATGTGCCGGGGCAGCTCCACATGTCAGGTCAGCTCCACCTATGGGACCAGCTCCACGTCCCGGACCAGCTCCATCTGCTGGGCCAGCTCCATGCACCAAGCCAGCTCCACATGCTGAACTAGCTCCACCAGTGGGACCATCTCTGTGGACCGAACCAGCTCCATGTGCCAGGCCAGCTCCACTGGTTGGACCATCTCCACACACTGAACCAGCTCCGTGCTCTGGGCCAACTCCAAGTGCCAGACCAGCTCCACCAGTGGGACCATCTCCATTCACTGAACCAGCTTCACGTGCCAGACCAGCTCCACGTGTCGGGTCAGCTCCAGCTATGGGACCATCTCCACACGTAGGACCAGCTCCATGTGCCAAATCAGCTCCATGTGCCAGCCCAGCTCCACCAGTGGGACCATCTCCATGCATGGAACCAGCTCCACGTGCCAGACCAGCTCCACCAGTGCGACCATCTCCATTCACCGACCCAGCTCCACCAGTGGGACCATCTCCATGTATGGGACCATCTCCACATGTAGGACCAGCTCCATACACTGAACCAGCTCCATGTGCCAGAAGAGCTCCACATGTCGGGTCAGCTCCACCAGTGGGACCATCTCCATTCACCGACCCAGCTCCACCAGTGGGACCATCTCCATGCATGGAACCAGCTCCACGTGCCAGACCAGCTCCACCAGTGCGACCAGCGCCACTCACCGACCCATCTAAACATGCCAGACCATCTCCACCAGTGGGACCATCTCCATGCATGGAACCAGCTCCACGTGCCAGACCAGCTCCACCAGTGGGACCACCTCCACTCACCGAGCCAGCCCCAGCCGCGGTCCCAGCCCCGCGCCCGGCCGCCGCGCCCTGCTCGTTCTGCCGGCACAACGGCGAGTCGCCGGGCGTGTACCGGAGCCACAGCCTGCGGGACGCGCGGGGCCGCGTGCGGTGCCCGGTGCTGCGCAGCTACGTGTGCCCGCAGTGCGGCGCCACGCGCGACCGGGCGCACACGCGGCGCTTCTGCCCCCGCACGCACCGCGGCTACAGCTCGGTGTACGCGCCCGCCGCGCCTGGGACGGCACCGACACGGCCTAGGTGAGCAGGGACAGGAGGGCACCGACACGGTGTAGGTGAGCAGGGACAGGAGGGCACCGACACCGTGTAGGTGAGCAGGGACAGGAGGGCACCGACACCGTGTAGGTGAGCAGGGACAGGAGGGCACCGACACGGTGTAGGTGAGCAGGGACAGGAGGGCACCGACACGCTGTAGGTGAGGAGGGACAGGAGGGCACCGACACCGCCTAGGTGAGCAGGGACAGGAGGGCACCGACACCATGTAGGTGAGGAGGGACAGGAGGGCACCGACACCGCCTAGGTGAGCAGGGACAGGAGGGCACCGACACGGTGTAGGTGAGCAGGGACAGGAGGGCACCGACACCGCCTAGGTGAGCAGGGACAGGAGGGCACCGACACGGTGTAGGTGAGCAGGGACAGGAGGGCACCGACACCGCCTAGGTGAGCAGGGACAGGAGGGCACCGACACGTGTAGGTGAGCAGGGACAGGAGGGCACCGACACGGTGTAGGTGAGGAGGGACAGGAGGGCACCGACACCGCCTAGGTGAGCAGGGACAGGAGGGCACCGACACGGTGTAGGTGAGCAGGGACAGGAGGGCACCGACACGGTGTAGGTGAGCAGGGACAGGAGGGCACCGACACGGTGTAGGTGAGGAGGGACAGGAGGGCAGGGTGTAGGTGAGGAGGAAGAGGATGGACACGCTGTAGGTGAGGAGGAGAGGAGGGCACCGACACCGCCTAGGTGAGGAGGGAGGGACACGGCGTAGGTGAGGAGGAAGAGGATGGACACGGTGCAGGTGAGGAAGAGCAGGGCAGGATGTAGGTGAGGAAGGAGGAATGGACCATGGTGCAGGTGAGGAGGGACGGACACGGTGCAGGTGAGGAGGAAGAGGATGGACACGGTGCAGGTGAGGAGGAAGAGGATGGACACAGTGCAGGTGAGGAGGAAGAGGATGGACACGGTGTAGGTGAGGAGGGAAGGACACGGTGCAGGTGAGGAGGGAGGGAAGAACACGGTGTAGGTGAGGGAGGGATGGACACGGTGCAGGTGAGGAAGAGGAGGGACACGGTGCAGGTGAGGAAGAGGATGGACACGGTGCAGGTGAGGGAGGGAAGGAGGGTCCGGTGTCACCGGGCAGGTGTGGCACGGGAGGTGTGGCAGCTGCTGGGTTTGGGCAGGGCTGGGATTCCCGTTTTACCCAAACCTGGGTTATCCCAATTCCTGTTTGATCCAAACCTGGGTTTATCCCAATTCCTGTTTTACCCAAACCTGGGTTATCCTGATTCCTGTTTTACCCAAACCTGGGTTATCCCAATTCCTGTTTGATCCAAACCTGGGTTATCCCAATTCCTGTTTGATCCAAACCTGGGTTATCCCAATTCCTGTTTTACCCAAACCTGGGTTATCCCAATTCCTGTTTGATCCAAATCTGGGTTATCCCAATTCCTGTTTGATCCAAACCTGGGTTATCCCAATTCCTGTTTGATCCAAATCTGGGTTATCCCAATTCCTGTTTTACCCAAACCTGGGTTATCCCAATTCCTGTTTTACCCAAACCTGGGTTATCCCAATTCCCGTTTTCCCAAACCTGGGTTATCCCAATTCCTGTTTTATCCAAACTGGGTTATCCCAATTCCTGTTTTACCCAAATCTGGGTTATCCCAATTCCTGTTTTACCCAAACCTGGGTTATCCCAATTCCTGTTTGATCAAACCTGGGTTTATCCCAATCCTGTTTTACCCAAACCTGGGTTATCCTGATTCCTGTTTTACCCAAACCTGGGTTATCCCAATTCCTGTTTTACCCAACCTGGGTTATCCCAATTCCTGTTTGATCCAAACCTGGGTTATCCCAATTCCTGTTTGATCCAAACCTGGGTTATCCCGATTCCTGTTTACCCAAACCTGGGTTATCCCGATTCCTGTTTTACCCAACCTGGGTTATCCCATTCCCGTTTTACCAACCTGGGTTATCCCAATTCCTGTTTTACCCAAACCTGGGTTATCCCAATTCCTGTTTTACCCAAACCTGGGTTATCCCAAATCCTGTTTGATCCAAACCTGGGTTATCCCAATTCCTGTTTGAATCCAACCTGGGTTATCCCAATTCCTGTTTTACCCAAACCTGGGTTATCCCAATTCCTGTTTTACCCCAACCAGGGGTTATCCCAATTCGTTTTACCCAAATCTGTGTTTATCCCAATTCCTGTTTATCCAAATCTGGGTTATCCCGATTCCTGTTTTACCCAAACCTGGGTTATCCCAATTCCTGTTTGATCCAAACCTGGGTTATCCCAATTCCCGTTTTACCCAAACCTGGGTTATCCCAATTCCTGTTTTACCCAAACCTGGGTTTATCCCAATTCCTGTTTTACCCAAATCTGTGTTTATCCCAATTCCTGTCTTACCCAAATCTGGGTTTATCCAGGGCTGGATTTCTGTGGTTCCCGTTTTATCCAAACCTGGGTTTATCCCAAATCCTGGCATTCCTGTTTTACCCAAACCTGGGTTATCCAGGATAAGATTAACCAGGATTTTGGTTTCTCTTCCAGGCACTCACCAGAGGATGAAACCACGGCTTGGAGCCCAACTGGGACCGGTTCTGGGGCTGAGTTTTGGGGGTTTTTTTTGAGTTTTGAGAGCTGAGTTTTGGGCTTGGTTTGAGTTTTGAGCTCTGAGTTTTGGTTATCCCAAAAGGGTCAGAGCTCCAGAAATTATCAATTTTGGGTTGGATGTGGAGTTTTGGTAATCCCACGCTGGGAAGGGGGCAGAGCCAGGTATTGGAGCTGTTATCAGGTATTTTGGGTTGGATTATTGAATTTTGGTAAATTCCCAGGATGGGAAGGGGTCAGAGATCCAGGAATTGTCAAATATTTGGGTTGGATTATTGAGTTTTGGTTAATCCCAATCAGGAAGGTGACAGAGCTGCAGGTGTTGGAGCTGTCGTCAGATATTTTGGGTTGGATTGTGGAGTTTTGGTTAATCCCAGACCGGGAAGCGGTCAGAGCTCCAGGGGTTACCAAATATTTTGGGTTGGATTATGGTTGGTTTGGTAAATCCCAGGCTGGGAAGGGGTCAGAGCTCCAGGAATTATGAAATATTTGGGTTTGATTATTGAGTTTTGGTTAATCCCAAATCAGGAAGGTGACAGAGCTGCAGGTGTTGGAGCTGTCATCAGATATTATGGGTGGTGATTGTGGAGTTTTGGTTAATCCCAGGCTGGGAAGGGGCTGATGCTCCAAATGCTGGAGCTGTTATCAAATATTTTGGGTTGGATTGTGGAATTTTAATTAATCCCAGGCCAGAAAGGGACTGGGAAGAGCGTGGTGCCCAGTGTTTACCAAATATTTTGGGTTGGATTATTGAATTTTGGTCAATCCCAGGCAGGGAAGGGATTGATGCACAGGTGTTGGAGCTGTTACCAAATATTTTGGGTTGATTATTGAGTTTTGGTAAATCCCAACTGGGAAGGGGCTGATGCTCCAATTTTGGAGCTGTTATCGATATTTTGGGGTTTGATTATGAGTTTTGGTAAATCTCAGTCTGGGAAAGGGTCCAGAGTTCCAGGAATTATTAATATTTGGGTTTGATAATGAATTTTGGATAATTCCAGGCTGGGGAAAGTGTCAGAGCTCCAGGAATTATGAAATATTTGGGTTTGATAATGAATTTTGGTTAATCCCAGGCTGGGAAAAGGGTCAGAGCTCCAGGAATTAGAATATTTGGGTTTGATAATGAGTTTTGGATAATCCCGGCTGGGAAAAGGGTCAGAGCTCCGGTGTTGGAGTTGTTACCATATTTTTGGTTGGATTATGAGTTTTGGTAAATCCCAGACCAGGAATGTGACAGAGCTCCAGGATTATCAGATATTTTGGGTTGGATAATGAGTTTTGTATATCCCAGGTTCAGAAAGGGTCAGAGCTCCAGGGTTTATCAAATATTTGGGTTGGATTGTGGAATTTTGGTTAATCCCAGTCAGAAAGGGACTGGGAAGGGGCTGATGCTCCAATGTTGGAGCTGTTATCTGATATTTTGGGTTGCTTTATTGAGTTTTGATTAATCCCAAGATGGGAATGTGACAGAGCTCCAGGGATTACCACCTGCAGCCGTTCTCCACACGAACTCTGCTTTGTTCCAGCAATAATGAGAGAATTATTTCCAGCACTCCTCACCTCCCTGGCCCTCTTTATTCTGCACAGGAACTCTGCTTTATTCAGCAATATTATATAAATTTATATTAAATAAACCAGAATTATGGAATATATAATTATGTTATAATTATATTATAACTATATAATATATAATGATATTTCCAGCACTGCTCACCTCCCTGGCCCTCTTTATTCTGCACAGGAACTCTGCTTTATTCCACCAATATGATATAAATTTATATTAAATAAACCAGAACTATAGAATATATAATTAATATTATAATTACATAAATATGACGATATTTCCAGCAACTGCTCACCTCCCTAGCCTTCTTTATTCTGCACAGCAACTCTGCTTTATTCCACCAATATTATATAAATTTATATTATATAAATTATATAATATAATTATAAAATGTAATGATATTTCCCCCATTTGCTCACCTCCCTAGCCCTCTTTATTCTGCACAGGAACTCTGCCTTATTCCACCAATAACCAGAATTATAGAATATATAATTATATAATATAAATTATATAATTATATAATATAAATTATATAAATGTAATGATATTTCCCCCATTTGCTCACCTCCCTAGCCCTCGTTATTCTGCACAGGAACTCTGCTTTATTCCACCAATAACCAGAATTATAGAATATATAATTATATAATAATTGTATAAAATATAAGGATATTTCCCCCATTTGCTCACCTCCCTAGCCCTCTTTATTCTGCACAGGAACTCTGCTTTATTCCACCAATAAACCAGAATATAGAATATACAATTATATAATAATTGTATAAAATATCAAGGATATTCCCCCATTTCTCACCTCCCTAGCCCTCGTTATTCTGCACAGGAACTCTGCTTTA